AAAAAAAAAAAACTCTTGGATAATAAAGCATGATTTTTTTTTCAACGGTGAACTCCACAAAAATTGTTTAAAAACTGAGATTTCTTGATAGACCGATAACGTAACAACTACTGTTTGTTAAATAATCGGGTGAAAAGTGAATTTTTTAAAGATATGCCAACAAAATCATCTGAAGTATTTTTAACCAAATATGCCCTTCCTAATCCTTTCAATTTTGTGTAATAATAATAGTAGTAAACTATAAACTTACCAAAAGTGGCATTAGTGTGGCCTAACTCAGAAATGCAGTTATAATTTGCGGTATTTTGTCTTTAAAATGGAAGGCGCAGAAGTGCTACCGCCTTCTGATCAACATATTAAACGACTGTTACAACGAATATGGCATCAGATGTTTCTGCACAATTTGTTTTCGAAATAAAACATGACCAAAGTCAACGCATTTGAGAACTGCTGTATTGGGATGTGGACGTTTTGAAACAGAAGTTATCAAAGAAGTTACGGAAGGTACGCTAAAATGGTGGAACAGGAATAAGAGACCGGTCAGCAGATTTTGGCTTAAGCGAATCGACAGCGAGAAGCCGATTTGACAGAAATCCAAATTCACATAGACTGATTAAAATTAGATGGAGGCTTCACTTATTTTACATTCGTTCAAACTTTGACAAGAAATTGGTTTATATCACATTCTAATCGTCATCTGACAAACTGCTTCTAGAAGAAATATCAGCACTCATAAGAAGTGATATAGATCAAAAACTAATAATAGTCTCTAGAAAAAAAAAACTCGGCTCAAACTCGTTCTTCTGAAATAGTAGCCTGAAGTCTTCATCACCGGGAACTATTCTAGAGAAGCCTTTTCCAGTAATTGTTTTTTTTTAACGAAGGAGTTCTCAACCATCTCTAAAACAACCATCCAACTGGCAGGCTAAGGACGTTCTTGAAAAATAACCTATAAAAAAAGAAAAAAACGAGCCATTGAAATCAGTGAGTCATCAAGGCACACTCAGTACGTGTAGTTGCATTCTTTTAGAAGCCGAGTCTTGCTATTAAAGTAATTTCTTTTATTTTCTAGTGTTTCAATCAAAATGTTACTTATTTTGCCAAATGACAGCCGAATACTTCTTACAGTTGTTGACCTTTGCAGGTTTGAACATAAAACACTTTGTTAAAGCTGCCCACTGGAAATAAACATTTTTTTCTGAATGTATCGTGCTTAAAGTGGTAATTAGAAAATGTATAAAAACCTGCGACTCCAAACACGCTAGTTATATTCTATTTTCCTTGATCTAGAGTTTTCAGCTATGATTAAGTGACTATGTATGTAAGTGGTCAGAGAGGTCATGGCAATCCTTCTTCTTTATCAGCGGCTAATTAGTATTCGTGGTTTATCATCACTTTCCAGCATCTATCGTGTCATGGTTAGTTTCAGAACCCAACGAAACTAACTAAAATACGGTCGTATTTTGAAACAACAGATGAATTATTTTTTCTAACCTCAGCAGTTCAAACTTCCTAAAAGTTGCTCCCGTTCCTCCCAACCTGACTTTGAATTTATTCCACACGCAAGCTGCTGCTCAAAATACACTCGGTAGTTTTCATAGTTTTTTCAAGCAGTAGTTTTCAGCATACAAATTGTTATTTCCACGACTTTTCAAGCACATAGGAAATTAATTGAATTTTACTGTACTCAGAAAACTGTTGTTCTTTACCTGTTATATAACTAGAATTTACAAAGTTTTTTGAAGTCAAAAGCGATAGAGCTGTACCTAAACAAACGTAATGACTGATTAGCTCAAGTGACCCACATTTTCTAGATTTCGCTGTCTTCAAAACAGTTCTTCAAGTGCTAGTGAATTTGTTTTTGGCACGACCATTTGAACCTCACTAACTCTGCAAATCTCTCAGCAAAAGCAAAAGACTGAATATGACGAAAAACAGAAACAATAACCAATAAGGCTCTCTAGAAAGAAAGTCTGGAGCAGATACAAAATGCTCCGTCGCTCCGGGGTGTGCTTGACCCACCACCCTTTCCGGTTAACAGCCGAACGCGCTAACCGATTGCGCCACGGAAGCTCCTCCAGCACCTCTCTCTTTATATATGTGGATCATATCTGCAGTTGTCAACAAACCACACCTGTACATAAGAACAGATGAGTTAGAATTTGGTAACTGGAGACGACGTTTAAAAAGAATGTACAAAATAACCCCAGCACTTGTGGAAAAAAAAACCTGAATAAAAGAACTACCTAGATCCCTTATTAAGCACCCATGAATGCCTTAGTCGAGAAAGTATGCGGAAAACCACCCCACCTCACTGATGCAAATCATCCGTACATAAGCATAGCTTCTTTTTGCAAACGAGCATACCGTAACTGACTTCTCTCGCTTACTATCTTCTTTTCGTTGTTATTCAGGCTACTGCTGCAGCACCTGCTTTTAAAGTCTTTATTTGTTAATGCACTACTCTGACCTCGGAATATTTCTGAAAGTACTTCACCCTTAAAAAGCGGGCCCGTGCAACGTTGTCGCTTCGCTCCCAAGTACCACTTGGACGCATGTTAGTTTTACTGGACTTTCAGTAACTTCTTCATTACACGACCCCTCTAAGAAAAAAAATGGTAAAGCAGACACGGTAACATCTTTCCAGCCCAAAAAGACTTAGCTACTTTTCCATTTCATTTCCTGAGACTGTGACAAAACCCGACAAACTGTGACTCAGCTCGTCAACTCCCGAACAACACACAAGACCGCACAGTCACTCCAAATGTTCATTTGAAAAACCAACCAATTAGACTGAAAATGCCCCTATTTCTCTTCTAATGAAGCCTTTCCAAACACAGCTTACCTCACTTCTCTTTTTTCTAATGCAAATGCAACTGTCGCTTATGAAAAAAACCTGCTCAGTGCTAAAATTAATCTCGCAAGTGCTTAACTTTGAATAAACATTAGTCGATGCACTACCTGTCAACTCCAACTCGAACCCTTTCAAGAAGAGAAAATTAATTTGGAAGAGCTACAGTCAAACTGTTAATAAACAGCTGAAGGCATTATCAATCCGTCATTTCAACAAGGATAAAGAATTGTTTGGCTTAAAGAGTCACAGACATTGGTAACGCTTTTGGAGCTCCAATTTCTTGTCTCATTCAGGTCTAAAAAATAAAATTGCAACTGCGGTAGTCTGGTTACAATGTATAACACACTACATACCACATGTATCATATAAACAACGGGTAAATTATGTCAGCATTAATGTTTTTTGAAATAAATTACAAACGACAGGTAAATCTTCACAGTTTTTCTTTAACCCCCCTTTACAAGTCACACTGTTCCTCATAAGTTAGATTTCTTGGCCGCTTCTTCGGGACTCTGTACTCTTCCTCTGCTTTCTCAAAAACTGTAATTTCTATTTTGTGTCCCGGATCGTTAATGAACTTCATGGTTTTTGGAGCCGGCCTAATATAACTGATGATTGCATACGGGGTAAAATGAAAGTCCTCCTAAAATAAATGCGGTTTTGCTTATTACTCACAGATAGTATAAGTTAAGTCAACAAATCATTACAGAGACTCATATTCACCTTCTTGCTTTTATTATCCGAAAGTTCCTAGTTGATGCATAGTTTTACGAATAAAGTGGGACTAGATGATTTTCCTTACCTCAAAATACTGTAAAACCAAGAAATTTCCAAGTGCATCTTCTACAAGTTCTCGACAAAACTTCCGATTCTTTTTTGATACCATTTCGATCAGTTTACCACCGGTAATACGCCCGGTCTCACTTTTAGAATTATCCTAGAAAGCAGCAAATCCAACTCATAGCTTAATAAATAGTTCAAATTCTCGATAAAACACTACTTTTAGAATAGCGTACATATCCTTCCATAATGTCGTAACATCAACTTGAACTCTACCAGTCTTGCTAGCGCATATGTCGCATTTTTGATTGCAAAAATTAGAATCCCATTCCACATTGTATAAATCCGCAAAGATAGTTCGTCTACAAGCCGTTTTCTGAAATCTCAAACTTTTGCGCTTTTTCCTTTTTGATTTGTTTGCTTTCTAAAAAAAATTTTTATGCTTCCCCGAAAAACAAAAACTCAGCAAACAAGACTGCTTAAGCTGCAAAGAAAAAACATTTTTAAAAAATTGTGCATATCTCAAGCCTCAAAAAAAAGAAATCACATTTCTAACCAAAAATTCGTTCCCAGAGTCATAAAAACATGTTAAGAACCTGTAAGCAGTAATTCAACATAACGTAAAGGCAATTCAAGCCATTTTTTTCTGTGCACACCATCGTACTTTGGCGGAAAAGGTCCGCAATCCTGTAGTATAAAATGCAAACTGCTTCATCTCCATTGCGACCAGCGCGTCCACTTTCCTAAGAAATTGCTATTTGGCAACTACAACGAGAATTCCTTAGCAGCAAAGAGACGTAACTATTTCGCTAATAAATCGGTTTACAAGGAAAAGGAAAAGGCTGCAAGGGAAGAAACTGTAGCAGAAACAGCGACAATCACCTGGTAATAATTTTCGATTGATTTCGCCAATGAATGATGAATAACAAACCGGACATCTGGCTTATCTATCCCCATACCTAAAGTTTAGTTGGACGTCACTCAACTGTACCAAACAAACATTTATTTAACAGAATAGCAGAAGTCACTAGATGGGAAAACAACTCAACCAAAAGCAACTGTCGCAACGATAACTTGAATCTCTCCTTGTATCCACTTTTCGTGAGTCTTTGTGCGCAGTCCGCTATCCAAATACGCATGATAAAAAGCTGCTCTAATTCCTTTCTTCCTAAAAGCAGGAAACGTTATCGACTGTACCACTTATTTCAAAAAATAATTTTCTTCATCAGTGCATTAAAAAAGTTTACCGAAAACTTTTTGCTAGTTCTTCGCATTCTTTCCTCGTAAAGCAATAAACGATACCACTTTGACCACGAAACCGACCATTAATAAGCGATACCAATTCCTCAAGATGATCGTCTGGAGCTGGTTTGTAACGGACCTCGTAAAACAAATTAGGCCTGTTAAATTCAGCGTAGAAGACAAGAGCTGCTAAAAAACACCAGAAACCACCAGTAAACGAATTCAAAATAAAAAAATTGAGCTTGTCAAAACGATGCAAACCTGGTATGTTTAAAATGTCTTTGACGTCTTCGACTACAACTTGCGAAGCAGTAGCAGTCAGGCCTAACAAGGGTACTCCCCTAAACTGTCGCTTTAAGATGTTTAAGAATTTGTAGTCCGGACGAAAATCATATCCCCACTGCGAACAACAGTGAACTTCGTCTATAGCAATTAACTACAATTAGAAAAAGCTGAAAAAAACAAAAAAGTGACTGCATTATGAAGAGGCAGAATGAGATTTATCTAGACAACATAAATTATTCTCCTCTAACTATGAAAGCAAATCTTCACAATTACTATAAACTAAAATTAAAACTAGAAAAAAGATTAGCTGAATATTTGAAAGTTAAAAGAACGGACATTTAATCGTTGCAGTTCCGCACACTTCTCTAGCTGGTTCATAAGCCGTTTACTTTTTGACAACTTCTCAGGAGTCACATATAAAAGTCGTAGAGTTGATTTTGGATCATTTAGTGCCTTCATAATAGAAGACGCCTAAAATCAAAAAGTAGAGAACTAAAAGTTTGCCAATAAACCTTAAATAAAGAGTTTTAACAACACTGAACCTCTTCTTTTGAAGTTGATTGATTCAAAGTAGCTGCCTCAATAGACAGTTTCTTCATTTGTAAAATCTGATCTTCAATCAACGAAATCAATGGGGAAACAACCAGTGTAATCCCTGAATTGAAAATAATTAGAAAAAAAAAGCATAAGCACCAAAATTTTCAAAATAAACCTTCATCACTTTATGAGCACGTTCTCTTCGTTCATGTTATACCTAAAACTTTGATTTCCAATTTTGGATATCACAACTATAAAAACACCAAAATGCCTCCTTAATCTTGAAAACAAACGCTACCAACTGTCGATTTAATGTAGCCCGAAAAGAATTAAGAACTTATAAAACCTGAAAGAAACACCTTTCAGCAAAACGGCTGGCAGCTGGTAACAGAGACTTTTGCCACCTCCTGTTGACATAATAACCAAGGTATCATTTTTTGAAAGAACACTATTGATGACAGACCTTAAAAACTAACAGCTGTGTCGAAGCCTTAGGAAATCTTCATTAAAATAAGTAGTTAATATAAAATAAGAGAAGAGAGTTATTTCAAGCTACAGGAAAATAAGCAAAACAACCTCTGAAGCGGTCGGAATTCATCGAGCTTAAAATTATTTTTTAGTATGAGCCTACAGTTCTCGGACCAACTGAATGTATCACACTCCCACACAGCACTGTCATTCGCTAAACTGGATGCGTTATGCTTCTGAGCTTCTAGTTTCCTCTGTATCTGAAAAACAGCAAGTTCATCTGCTAAAAAATTAATACTATTACATACTGGGGCACGAATTTCATTAAAACTATGAAGAATGCAATTATAAAAGTGCCTTTTTTGCAGCACACTCATGGTTTTCTAAAAAAAACATGAGGACATTATCAAAGGAGAACTGACCTTTTCTTTCTCCTCTATAAGTTTTTGTTTTTGGCGTTTCAAAGTACGTATTTCTTCATCTAGTTTCTTGATCTCGTCGTCAATGTCCAGTATTGCGACTGACAAGTTTGAATCAGCCATCTTAAATCTAACAATTACCCACCTTGATAAAGGTAGAAAAACCAAAATAGCAAGTAGGAATTTATCGAATTTTTGTGGAAATGATCGCTTAAAAAATCTTGTTTGTCAGACGAGCCTAAAGCATTCTGAAGTACCGTATAGCATCCAAATCTATTTTCTGGTCAGACTCATTTTTGCTCAAGATCTTCGTTGAACACAGAAAAAATTAAACGATCAAGAGCCAGTACGCAATACGTACCCCCACCCACATTGTTTTTAAGTACTACTAATATTACCCGCCGCTCTAAAGGTTAAGCTGTTCATCTGTCACTCCCATTTCCCTCTTCTAATGTAATTTTTATCGGTTCATCCCTTCCTATGACTGATCACCGTTTCTTCAGCAGTGTTCTTCCTACCTGCTAGCTAATAATCATGTTAACATTGTGAGAGAAACATCGGGTTAGTGTCTGTTATCCTTAAAGTTTCTTCAGAACTAAACCCGCCAGAGTACCAGATGAATTAATTTTCTAAAGTGCAGTTCTATATACTTTTAATTTGAATTTTTTTCTAAATCCCATACTCAGTCTACCAAAATCTTCTAATCTTCTTATATCATCTGATTACTTCGCTGCTCCTTGGAACGGACTGGATTTTGGCTTTCTAAGTTTTGATTTACCAAATGTCCAATTTTTGACTTTTTGAAAAAGTTTTCCAAATTGCGCTTTGCATATGGCTTGTAAACATTGTTC